AAGCACAAATAGGAAATATTGCGAAACCACTCCCAAATCCATAGGTTAGGTTCTGCGGTTTGAATTATGCTATTAAAATAAAACTAAAACAAAACATGATACAAAGGGAAAATTTAATAGATTGTTAAACAAAAAGCGAATGTTTCAACAAAAAAAGAAATCCTTCAACATATTGAACCTAGCTAAACTTAGAAATGAAAAATGAAGGACCAGTCTGTTTAATGAAAATAAACTAAAAGATAATAAACAACCAAATCCAAAAAAAAATAAATATATGTTGGTACTTACTTAATAAAATAAACATATTAATGTCCAACCTTGATCTCAGTTCAGATAAGCCACCATTTTTTGTCACTTGATGATGGAAATTGCAGACTCTAGCCTTGAATCAAGGTAGATAGAGGCTAGAAGTTCGCACACTTTTCGTCAAATGTTGAGGGACAGGTGCCAAGGGAAAGTCTTGGTACTAAGTTGGTGATTCAAATTCAAAAGAAAAGTGTGCCCTCGAGGTTGATAATTGCTATTATTATTAGCGGCATAAACCATGTTCTAATAATAGCAGTCACCAGACTGTCAGCATTCAAGGCGATAATTCAATTAATAAAATAATATATGACAGAAAAAGGAACATTAACGCTTCTGTATTATATATCTGTTTATTATGCTACAGATCTTGAACGAAACAGGTACTATTCGTAAGAGATAAGCTTATTGGCATCGAGGTATTTAACCAGTTTGAGGTTGACTATCTTTTCCATTACTTTCGAAAATATGAATATAAGCGAGGTGGGACGATAATTGCTAGGAAGAGTTTTCTTGCGCTTTTTCGGTATAAGCTACCGTCTGGCACATTCCCAGATAGACGAGAAACACCTAGACTGTAGAGTCAAAACAGTTTGCCAATAACTTGAAGCAAATTCTTAAGTCCTGTTTACGAATTGGTGGAATGCCGTCGGGATCACAAGAGTTTTCCAGTGTCCAGTTGCAGAAGCATTTTCCCAATAGTTTTAGGGCTAAAAACAAGGTTGTCCATTTAAGAACCAATGTGTGGTGCAGAAATCCGCTTTCTCCTTTCACGAAACTGCAATGGAATTATTGTCAAGGTGGAAAGGAAAGAGATATGAAAATTTTTTCTATGATTTTGGCAAAAGACCAAAAGGATATCTTGATCTGCTCGGGCAGTCCAAAAGTACTTGCTGGCTCTGTAACTCCTAAGCCTCGTTGGTTATACCGTTGCAAACATTTCTGGCAGACGTAAAGGACAATTTGGGTTAGTAGCAAAAAAACACCTCTCCCCCCGTTTTATTGGAGGGTACAATGAACAATTCCATACCTAACGAAATTATTTCGGTAACCTCTGGTGCAGCCTCGGAGGGATCTTCGGATTTAACAAATATCGTTCCATGCAAAGTTCGAGAAAAATAGTTTTATACCTTGCAGCTCCATAGTGCCTCACACTACGTGGTATTGGAGCAGGAGCTGAGGGCATAACTAATGAACTTCGAGCGGAAATCAATGTGGGCTAATTTCCTCAAAAGTGCAAACCCTTCGTTCTTATAATGATCGGGATTAGTGGTAGGGAATAATTCGAGTAAGTTGACCTGTAAGGAATAGGGTTGCCAGATTTGAAAAGCGTGAGGTAGTCCATAGGAGGAAAAGATATTTCGCTGTGTCACAACGAGGTCTGTTCAAACCCGCCAAAAAAAGCGTCCCCAGAACGGTTTTGGAACCACTCTGTATACGAATTTCAGATTCTACGCACAAATTTTACGTGTTGCGCAGAATCCTGACGGTGAAATGTAGTAAATGTACGGTTTCCTGCGAAGTTGGAACAAAGCTATACCTTCATAGTTCAGAGGAGTTTCCTCGTGGCCCAGATATTTTAAAATGTTTTTCAAAACTAGTTTAAAACAGTGTCACATAACGTCATAATTTCTCGGCGCGAGAAAATGGTTTTAACACGTGGATTGGTCGGATAAGAATGTATTCCGAAAGGGTTTGAACCAATTTTGATGTGACGTCATGTTTTCATCGCGAGAATATAGTTTCAAACCTATTTGGAACCAGTGGACACGAGAAAACGGCTCAGACCAGACAGATGCTCGAACGAGCTACGCTCTCAGTCTTGAGTAGTTCTGTCTTCGTTTGGAATTGAAAATAAATAAATGTGCAAATAATATCAGCGCTTTGGTATTATTTATTTAATGTCGAGAATGGGCACTACGAATATCTAAGAATGCCCTTCGGCCTCAAAAACGCTTGGGCCACGTTTCAAACGGTTATGGACGGTGTCCTTAAGGGCCTACAAAACTGAATATGCTTCGTATATATGGACGACATTATTGTCTACTCGACCTCTTCACAAAAACACATGATAAAACTAAAAACAGTCTTTCAACGACTACGCGAAAGTCACCTAAAATTCCAACCCGATAAATCAGAATTCCTAAAAAAGGAAGTGGCTTTCCTAGGCCATATCGTGACAACAGGAGGCATAAAACCAAACCCTGACAAAATCAAGGCGATACTAAAATACCCGATCCCAAAAACAGCAGAAGAAGGGATTTCTGGGACTTCTAGGCTACTACCGTGAATTCATTCCGAATTTCGCCAAAATAACAAAACCGTTTACCAATTGTCTCAAAAAGCATGCGACCATTAATGTTAATGATCCCACCTACGTAAAAACATTCGAAGACTGTAAAGTATTATTAACTAACAAGCCGCTGTTGCAATATCCCGAGTTCTCCAAAGAATTTAACTTAACTACAGATGCAAGCAACTTTGCCATAGGTTGTGTACTCTCACAAGGTCCGATTGGACAAGATAAACCATTAGCTTACGCATCTAGAACATTAAATTCTGCCTAGCAAAATTATTCAGTAATTGACAAAGAGCTCTTGAGTATTTTCTGGGGAACGCGCTATTTTAGACCATATTTAATTGAGAGAAAATTTAAAATCGTCACTGATCATCGCCCACTCCAATGGCATATGAACCTAAAAGAATAAAGTTCAGGTTCACGTTTAGTTCGATGGCGTCTGAACTCGAGGAATTCGACTATCAAATAATTTATAAAAAAGGGAAAAATAATGCAAATCAGGAGTCGAGATGAACGTAAATGAAGTAAATGATACTACGCCGACACCACCTGAAAATAACGAGAACAGCCTTGACTCAAATTTACCGCCTGTTCTGCAGTATATGCAAGAATACAACAATAACCCCTTTCTAGACAACCCGCTTCCTAGCATAAGACGCGGACCCAATGATCAAATTACAACAGCTTTTGAAAATAATGAAAACAATCCCGATGTTGCGACCGACAATGAGTCAATTACTGGCCAAGCTGACCCTGACGAATTTAATGATAATGACACCGTTCATACCGATTCTGGAAGCCCCATTTTATCTATTTACATTAGTGAAAAACCATTAAATTATTTTCTGTGTCAAACAGTCATTATTAAAATCGAAAATAACCCCAGAATTGAAATAAAGAAAAGCTTCCAAAATCCTGTAAATAGAACCTGATGGTATATTTACGTAACAAACGATTATTTTCAAGCACAAATTATCCAATGCATAAAAGAATACGTAGAACCAAAGAGGCATTACGTCTTTCTTTTTCAAAATGGCGGAGACGAAATGCTGTTTAGACAAATGTGTAAATTTATACCGCAAATATTTAAATAAGCATTTAACAAGTTTTTGAAATCTAATAAAATGCTTTGTGATGTAACCAAGGAAGATAGGCAGAAAAATCTCATTAAAAGCCAACATGAAAGTATCACCAATCATAGAGTAAAATATTTTTGGCCCAAAATGAATGATGATGTCAGAAAATTCATAAATAGTTGCTCAATCTGTCAACAGGTAAAATATGAACGTCACCAACCATTAATAAAATTGCAATTAACACATGATTAACACCCACGCCTAAAAAACCATTTGAAACCATTCATGTGAATACCTACAAATTTGAAAAAAACTGTTGCATTAACAATTTGTAGTAGTTTCTCGAAATTTGAACAAGCCTATGTTCTACCAAGCTTATCTGCCGTATACGTGTATCAATCTCTCTTAAAGTTTGTTTCAAATTACAAAATCCTAGAAAATATCGTATCTGATAATGGTACAGAATTCAACCAAAATCTCCTTAGAGAATTCGCCAAACTTTATAAAATCAATGGGCACTAAACCTTGCCCTTGAACCCGAATAGCAACTCAATTGTTGAAAGATTTCACTCTACATTATTAGAGCACATGCGGATTCTAGTTTTGTCCAAATCAAACCTAAGTGCATTTGAAAAATAAAACTTTGCTATTATAGGGTATAACAATTCAATCCATTCAGCAACAAAACAGGAGCCAATCGATTTAATTTTTGGTCACCTCCAATAATATGCGCATTCTCAATCCTACATCATTACATGCTTCGTTAAGTTGTTCGAAAAAGTTTTTGAGGTCCTGAATATATACCCCAATTTTCTCACAGTTCTCACATCTTGAGAACGACGTCCATAGCCAAAGTAAAAAGTTCTGCGAATATAGGATCGCCTTGGTTAACTCCCATATTAACTGAAAGTTTCTCGGCTGTCAGTAATTTTCACACACACGAAAAGTAGCACTTCTGTATATGTATCTTCCCGAAAATGGTAGAATATGTTGGATCAATCCATGTTCTGACCATCGCTTGCAGGTCAGTCCATGTTTTGACAGTCGAGTATTTTATGAAAGTCTGTAAAGGCCAACTGATGCGCTTACCTTCATTGAAGTTTTATTGGTCTGCATATGATCCATTAAAACAGTAATTACTTTGGAATCCTGCCTGCTCCACTAATTTTAGAGTTGCATCACGATTCGGGGAATTGTCTTCCAGTGAGCATTTATCACACATTGCCTATAGAAGTTCAATATTTTAGAGTTGATTTTCTGTTATTCATTTTGTCTTAGTGAACTCTGTGTTTAAAAATGTATGAAGTCCAATTTTTTTCCAGGCGGAAACGGCCCTTATGTACGACGCTGTCCATTTGTTCGCCAAAGCACTACATGACTTGGACTCCAGCCAACAAATTGATATCAAACCCCTAAGTTGCGACGCGGTCGACTTTTGGCCTCACGGTTATAGCCTCATTAACTACATGAAAGTGGTGAGCACTTTTTTTCTTAGTTTTCCAACACAAAGTTGTCGCAGCTGAATAAACCTAGCTATTTTTTTTATCTTAGTTTCACTTTAAATAAATGTTCCTTATCAAATTGGATAACTACTGTAATAGAATAACTTTTTTTAGGTTGAAATGCGCGGTCTAACAGGGGTCATTAAATTTGACCACCAAGGCTTCCGAAGTGACTTCATGTTGGACATTGTCGAGCTAACTAGGGAAGGACTTAAGAAAATTGGAACCTGGAATTCTAGCGAAGGAGTGAACTTTACCAGAACTTACGGTGAAGCCTATACCCAAATCGTAGAGATTATTCAAAATAAGACATTTGTGGTAACGGTTATATTGGTAGGTAATTTTTATTCAAGTCGTTATTGCTACTTTACATTATAAATGACTTTTCCATCAAATAAACATTGTATTTTCCCTTACAGAGTTCCCCCTACGTAATGCGAAAGGAAGCCAGCGAAAAGTTGACGGGTAACGCTCAATTTGAGGGATACGCCGTCGATTTGATTCACGAAATATCTCGCACCCTGGGATTTAACTACACCATCAAATTGGCTCCAGACGGGCGGTATGGGTCGTTCAATAAGGAGACGAATGAATGGGATGGAATGATACGGTGAGTTAAATTAAAGTCACTTATCCCAATCAATTATTTCCTAATCGGATTTAAAAAATCGAAGTTTAAGCGGAAATTGAGAGCTTTTCGAAGCCGCGAGATTCGTCGTTAGGACTAAATTGAAATTCGGGCTTTTATTAATTATAGTATATTTGAAAAAGGAGGTAATCAGAATGGTTTAGAACGGTAATTAATTAGGTTTGCCAACTTCAACAATAACCAATGAAACAATCAATAAGATTGCTACTCCTTAAGTGTGTTTTAGAACTTGCTAAAAGGACCTATTAAATTTAAGGTCATAGGGTTAGTTGAAAAACAACACAACAACACATGAAGGTATTGAAAAACTATCCCTTAACCACCTCTCAAGGAACATTTCCTTATTTTTCCAATTTTATCGAAGACCAACTTTCCCTCGAAAAGTCACTTCGAGACGAGACGAGAAGCGTCAAAATTGACCAGAGACGTGAGAAAACGAGGTGAGACGAGAGAAGAGCTCTATTGTCTTCCATCGAGGGTCTCTCGTCGAGACGAGAGTCACATTTTCTCTCGAAACTTCGAGACAAGACAAGAGTGGGCGTATTTTTGTCTCGTCTCGTCTCGCGGCATCACTAATTACAAAAATATCCAGCTGTTTGGTGTCCTAATGAGTTCTTACCGGGTGAAAAGAAGCTGTATAGGTTACCATGGCAAGTGCTGCTAGCGTTCTGCAACCCCAATTTCTAGAGGGAATGAGAACACTATATTGTAAGAGTTTTGCTTCAATTATTGATGTGCTCTCGATAGTGTGGATGGGCTCATAATTAGGGATTTGCTAGGCTGGGATATGCTTCGAATTTCCGCCTTTGTTGACTGGTCTGTTATCACAGAAATCTTCAAACTACAGCTGCTTCTGAATTTCATCATCATGAATGTATCAAGAAATATTAGAAGACATATACAGGGTGTCCCACGGTGGATGGCGTATTAGACGTTTATGGAGAACCAAAAAGCCGATCATTTTGAAAATTTGGCAACCGGGATAAACGACCATGATCTACACTTTAAAAATATTTTGGACCATGTGGTGTTGCCGTTTCTACTCTAAACTAGTGGCAACATCGCTATTTCAAATAGAACACCTGTATGTGATTGCATTTTTGGATTCTACGTAAAATTCTGAGCAGATTTTATGTGATATACCCTATACCTAAGTTCAACTGTTTTGGAAATATTGACAGTTGAAAATTGACATTTTGCAACTTTGATAGGCTGTAAAACCTAAACGGTTAATTTTAGAGGAAAACCTATTTTACATTCCTGTCTTAGATTTTCATAAACTATCATTTGACACCAACTTTGAATTTAACCGGAGATTAAATCTAATTGGAATTTTTAATTATGGATTAAATTCAAAGTTGGCGTCAAATGATAGTTTATAAAAATCTAAGATAGGAATGTAAAATCGGTTTTCCTCTAAAATTAACCATTTAGATTTTACAGCCTGTCAAAGTTGCAAAAAGTCAATTTTCAAATGTCAATATTTCTAAAACAGTTGAACTTAGGTATAGGGTATATCGTATATCACATGAAATCTGCTCAGAATTTTACGTAGAATCCAAATATGGAATCACATAAAGGGTGTTTCATTTAAAATAGCGATGTTGCCACTAGTTTAGAGTAGAAACGGCAACACCACATGGTCCAAAATATTTTTAAAGTGTAGATCATGGTTGTTTATCCCGGTTGCCAAATGTTCAAAATGATCCGCGTTTTAGTTCTCCATAAACGTCTAATACGCCATCCACCGTGGGACACCCTGTATAAGAAAAGATCCTGAAATGAGGGTCGCAATAAGTCGGAAAAAGCTTGCAAAGCTCGAGACAAAGTTACTATGAACGAAAAACGCCTTACCTACTAGTAGGTAAGATAATTTATTGGATTGATTTAAAAAGTTTACAAATCGCGATCTTGTAACTCCTTTTGTTAATTAATTGATGAGAGGCCCATGATATGCTCGGTTTGCTCAGCGAATAATTATAAGGGATGAGTTGATAGTTTAATAAGTACAGAATGGCAAGGGCGCCACTGAATTTTTTCATTTATTTTATTTTTTTTTTCAAAAATTAATAATAAAATTGCTTAAAATATGGATAAAAATTCAGATATACATCTAGAAAAAAATTAGCAAATGGTAATTGGTAATTCTGAAAAGGAAAAAAATAGGGCACAGAACTCAAATCTTGACATATAAGTAAACCAATAAAGCAATTAAGTAAATTTCAAATTAAAATAGTATATACCGGGTATCCCACCGAAAACTGTCAATGGCCTATATCCCGAAAACGGAATTCGGTGAAAAAAATATTAAAAACCAGTTTTGAGGGTTGGAAGGGGGAACCAAAACAAGGTACTTTTCAGGTCTCCCTGAATCACCCCTCCGGCCGTAGCTACCCTAACCTCTAAATCTTAAATGGCACTATGGATCATGAGATACCTTGTTTGAAAGGTTTTTTAATTCTCTTAACGAATCTGCAAAAAAAAAATTATCTAGGTACAAATTTAACTTGTCACAAAATGGCGCATGCTTCGAGCTAACAACTTTGCACTCTTGTGGAGGTGAACACTGTCAATTACAGTGAGGGGAAAGGGGTTCAGAAAATAAAATCTTGATGATTTCTTCAAAAATATTCATGCTATAATTCAATTTGCATAAAATCGATTTTAAATCACATTTACCTGTTCCACCCGATCAAATGAGATTTTCATCAAAATGAGAGTCACATTCAAATCTGGATATTTTTTTTTTTGCAGATCCATTAAGAGAATTAAAAGACCTTTAAAACAAGGTATTACCCATAATGCCATTTAATATTTTGAGGTTAGGGTAGCTACGGCCGGAGGGGTGATTCAGGGAGACCTGAAAAGTACCTTGTTCTGGTTTCCCCTTCCAACCCTCCAAACGGGTTTTCCATTTTTCTTAAATCGATTACCGTTTTCAAGATATAGGCCATTGACAGTTTTCGGTGGGACACCCGGTATTTTTACAGTCAGTCAAAAATCCAGCATTGAATTAGGTATTTCAAAATATTAAATCAATTATTGTTGGTTAAACACCTTAGATCAGTTCAAATGGAAGAGGTTAACTTTCAATCAGATTCGTCAAGCTCACAAAAATAAAATGATAATATGTATAATAACAATGCATCTCAATATACTTGCCATATAAATTGATTAACAGTTGCTGGCCATATCATTATCAGGAAATGCAAATATAAAAGATTTAGTTTTCTAGAAAACTAACTAAAAAAATTGAATGAGTGAAAAATTGTATTGATAAATATGGTCAGCTTCTGCAAAAAAATTAATTCAAAAAAAATCAATCTGTACCTGTGAAAACTCGAAAGTTGGGTTATATAACAGTTAAATGGTCTGGAGACATAAGGGAAATCCTCTAATATACCCAGGTATAAGTTATAGAACCTCGGGCTAAAAATTGATCAATTATCGACGGAAGGCTCTTACCCAACAATTTCAAATTTAGTAGAGGTAGCGATATTATCGATAGTTTATCGAGAGGATGGATATTTCAAGAAAATACGGAACAATCGAAAACATCGATAGTGGCCCCATCGATAGTCGATAGTGCATTTTCCCACTCCCACTTCACTACGAGCATAATCTTTACTATTAAATCTTTAATCTGACAGTTGATGTTGAAAATTTGAAATTTGAGGGCGGAGTTGAAGGACTTTGAGGTTGGAGGATCGGTGGAGCAGTCAAATTTCGCGTACGAAATGTACTCGAATTGTTTCGAAAATCGCACCCCTGGTTACTGGTTAGTTTATGTGGTTATTTATTTATATTCTTGTTTATTATGTTTATTGTTAGTAAGCTTAGTTTTCGTTCGCTTCGGGTGGCTAGAAATCAAAGAGTTGAAAATATTGTTTTATAAAATAAAAGGATTTAATTCTCTAAAGTAGTTTTTTTAAAAACTATCGATTGTTTATCGATAGTACCGATATTGGATGTTAACGCTATCGAAACTATCGATAGTGAATTTGCGACCACTATCGCTACCTCTTAAATTTAGAACATGTTGTACAACCTTGACTTTTGTTCAGATTACTGATCGATTATTATTGATAAAAATTATAAAATATGCGAACATTATCCAATTATGGCGATATTAAAAGTTTTGCAAGGACAAATTCAAAATAAATTCGATAAATCGAAAGCTAATTTTCCACCATCGCCTCGGTGTCAAGAATTAGAGATTTTAAAGGTGTATGAAAATCATATAAAAAAAATATATCTTAATTTTGTTAACTGATTATAAAATTTTGTAAAAGAAAAGGTATCAAAAATTATTAATAAAACTTTATACAAGCCTCCTTTCCAACATAAGGTAGAGCACGGTAGCCATCCATTCTCGATCATTTGACGAGTGAAACTGCACGTGGAAGTTGCAGATTCTAGCCTAGAATCAAGGTAGATAAGAGACTAGAAGTTATCAGTTATCGTCAAATGTGGGGCACACGTATCGACTCGTGGGGGTCTTGATTCTAGTAGGAATCCCTTCAAAAGCTTTATGCCACACTCCACGGAAATGGTGTTCTTATTGAAAATGTGGCCTTCTAGGAATAGATTTGTTGGGAGAAACGGCTCTTCGGAAGACCCTAAGTAATAGAGGCATTCCTTGAAAAGCTATTATTATTCAAACTCAAATAAATTGGTAATCACAAGAGTTTTGATTCAAATTTTTTCGGTAATCAACGGATTATTGCCCTACGCAACTTTATTTCGGTAAGATAAGATAATGCCTGAAGGCCGATAAGGTACTTTATTTTTCCACGGCACGGTTGTCTTGAGAAGATGGCGATTTTCAGCCGATCGGCCTTCCAGCTCGACGGCACAATAATTGAAAAAGAGAGAATTGGAACCGACAAGGTGAGCAGGCAGCGCTTCCTCTCAACGGAAAACGTTGGTACTAACCGGTACGTCAAATTTAAATGAAAAAC